CAATACCAGACAAATAACCCAGAAATTTGTCTTCAATTTTGAAAGTAATCATAGGTCCCAGCCACTGAATCAATGTCAAAAACCAAGCTCTAATACTTAGTAGCTTCTCCTTTCTTCTCTCCTCAATCATTTCGGCTATTTTGTCTCTTCCTCTCCTCTCTCTGATTGCTCGGTTTCTTGTTTGTTTGATTGTATTTTTCACCTAATCCTCTATCTCTCATTTTTATCATTAAGTCTAACTCTTGTAATATAATATTGGGTTATGTATTAATCAGTTGGGTTGGGTTCTGTTTGAATAATGTTGTCTTTGTTGTGTTAAGTCTAATTGTATTTATTTTAAGGATTTTCATTGCACATTATATACACGCATATTACATCATATGCATATCTTATACTTCATAGATTTGAATTTTATTTGTTCAATACATTAATTGATAATGTTCTTAATATCTATGAAAGTTTCACTTCAAAATTCTGTGCTTTTAAGTCAATATCTATCTTTTTGTCGATTTTCCCCGATACTAAAAAGACATCGATATATCCCCGAAATATCCGTAAATTGAAGGCCCGATAATATCTGTATCGCCGATATTTTCATCCTTGATTATTACTTTTTTTATTTTTAATTTTTCATTAAGAAGAGTGCAGAGTGACTATTTTGAAGTGCCAATAACTGCTTCTTATAATTACATACCTACATAGTCAACGGGGTCTAGCCTAGTGGAAAAGAGTATTGACTTGCAGACTAGTGATCTCATATTCAAACCCCTTGACACCTTGATAGTATGTATGAGAAACAAACCCCCCCCCCCTCCTCTCGCTTCGTAGTTTAGACTATCGCTTGTAATAAAAACAAAGTTAATACCTACGCAACCGTATGCACCAATCCGAACTAGAAATTCAAAAGTTCCAAAATATCATTACTAATTGGAATTAAAACAGGACAGTAATGCTGGTCGGCAGGCCACTAATGCCATGTACCGTTCCTCCTCCTTAACGTGTTGAACTTGAAGCAATGCTAATTTATCAGTCAAGACAATGAAGTGTAAATTCATATAATCATTCAACGTAAGGAATGGTTCATTGTGAAAGTTTGACTTTTGTTAAATTGTTGTTTCTATATAATATGTAATGTACCTGAGGTCCTTTTCATTCATTTCTCATTGAGAGATTGAAAAATTGAAAGATGGGATATTATTACTTTAAGATTTACCATCTTCTGTCCTTGTACCTGATCTCATGTGTTGTTCCTCTTTCCTTAGCACAAGACTTCAATTTGCCATTCAAAGCTGTGAATCTTGGGAATTGGCTTGTTACAGAGGGTTGGATGAAACCTTCTCTCTATGATGGCATTCCCAACAATGACCTTTTGGTATAGTTTTATTTTGCTTAGAGCTACTGCATTCATCACAAATAAGCATATCTTTTCTTCTTCTTTTTGGTGTGATTTCGTTTTACAGTTTCGCTTTTCTCTACTAAAACCACAAATAATCTGAACTATTCCCTACTGAAAAAACATAGTTCAAAGTTTTTGATTTTGAAATCATTTGCAGGATGGAACACAAGTTCAATTCAAGTCCACAAAGCTGCAGAAGTATATTGCACCAGAAAATGGGGGCGGCAGTGGTTCCGTTGTTGTTGTCAACCGCGATTCGGCCTCTGGTTGGGAAACTTTCAGGGTATGCTCTTCAAGCCAACATTAATTCAGCACTACCAAAAGCCAGATAAAAATTGAACATCATTATTTACCAAAAACTAAATAAGTAAATTTAACTCCATTGGTTTTTTCGTTTGTAATGCAGTTGTGGAGAATTGATGAATCGTCTTTCAATTTGAGAGTGTTCAACAAGCAGTTTGTGGGATTGCCAAACCAAGACCAGGGAACCGGCCTAATTGCAGTTTCAGATTCACCTGGAAACACCGAAACATTTCGGATTGTAAGGAATGATGGTGATCAAAATAGAGTTCGCATTCAAGCATCCAATGGTTTATTTCTGCAGGTGATTGTTTCCTCTAGTAGCATTGAGCACCAAAGTTCAATTTATTTGTCACATATATACATATGAAAAGGAAAAGTGACCAACAAGTCCCTCTCATGAAAATCATACTTTTCGTTGTAATTAGGCAACATCAGAGACACAATTGACTGCAGATTATGGAGGCTCAGGTTGGGAAGATGATAATCCATCTGTCTTCATAATGACAATATTAAGTGACAAGACCTTAAGAGGTGAATACCAACTCACAAATGGTTATGGTCCAGATAAGGCTCCTCAAGTCCTGCAGGTAAGATTCATATGATTTTCAACAAGAAAAAACAAAACAATATTGGTTTCATGGTGCAAATCAGAAGTAATCAAATTGAATTTATGCTTAACAGGATCACTGGAACAGTTACATCACTGAAGACGATTTCAGGTTCTTATCATTGAACGGCTTGAATGCAGTGAGGATCCCAGTTGGATGGTGGATTGCAAAAGATCCAACACCACCTAAGCCTTTTGTTGGAGGCTCCTTGCAAGCCCTGGACAATGCTTTCACATGGGCACAGTAAGAGTAGTTGCAAGTTGCAGCTTGTTATAAAGTTATGTTACACATAAAACAGAGAGAGAAAAATTACTTTTGCTTTGCAGAGAGAAAAATTACTTCAAATTGGTATTATTGCTGTTTCACTGTCTCTGAACACAACATGTATGCAGAAACAATGGGCTGAAGGTAATTGTAGATCTTCATGCAGTTGAAGGGTCCCAAAACGGCAATGACCACAGTGCAACTAGAGATGGCTACCAGGAATGGGGAGATTCCAACATACAAGACACTGTGGCAGTCATAGATTTCTTAGCATCAAGGTTTGAAACTTAACAAACATTCAATTCTTTACTAAACAAATATAAGATTAACCTCACCCACTTATGTTTATGGAATTTACTTATTTTGCTAACCACTCATAGTGGGCGGTGTGCCCTACTAACCCGAGGGCTTAGGGTGCGCTTAGTCTCCGTCACACAACAATCATTTTAATTCCCTACTTTATTACAAGCCCACACACACTACAAGACTTGGCTTATAGAATTACATAGAACTGATACCAACTTAACAACTAATCTGACACTTTTTTTCTGAGCAGATATGCTAATCATCCAGCTCTTGCAGCAGTTGAGTTAATGAATGAGCCTATGGCACCTGGTGTCAATCTAGACAGCCTCAAAAATTATTACAAAGCTGGTTATGAAGCTGTACGGAAGCACACTTCAAGCGCTTATGTGATCTTATCAAACAGATTGGGACCTGCAGATGCAAAGGAGCTTCTCTCATTTGCCGGAGGCCTCGATCGCGTAGCCATAGACGTGCATTTCTATAGCCTGTACTCGGACATGTTCAACAGCTTCAGTGTGCAACAGAATGTGGATTTCATCTACAACCAACGAGCTTCTGATCTCGATGCTGTGACCACTTCCAATGGACCCCTCACTTTTGTTGGTAAGTCACTACTCACTATTAATTAAGAAATTAGTAAATAATTAATTGATCTTGAGCATCACTAGCATTATTTTTATTTCATTATTGAAGGAATGCTAGCTACCTTCCCCTCTTACCTTCTTACAAAAGTAAGTTGCAAATCCATTAAGTATTT